CAGTTGTATGCCGTTCTAAAGCAAAGATAGGTCGGCTTTTGTGTCAGCATTGCCGAATGCCGATCTGAATTTCGCTGAACGCATATATATGCATAATATATATACATATATATATATATATATATATATATATATATATATATATATATATATATATATATATATATATATACATATATATATATAATATATATATATATATATATAATAATAATAAATATATATATATAATAATAAATATATATATATATATATATATACATATATATATATATATATATATATATATATATATATATATATATATATATATATATATATATATATATATATATATATATATATATATATATATATATATATATATATATATATATATATATATATATATATATATATATATATATATATATATATATATATATATATATGTATATATATATTATAAAAGCAATTATTAATAATTAACGGTTGTGTTAATTGTTATAATAATTATTCAAATTGTATCTAAAGCAAAGATAGGTCGGCTTTTGTGTCAGCATTGCCGAATGCCGATCTGAATTTCGCTGAACTCATATATATGCATAATATATATACATATATATATATATATATATATATATATATATATATATATATATATATATATATATATATATATATATATATATATATATATATAGTATATATATATATATATATATATATATATATATATATATATATATATATATATATATATACATATATATGTATAATATATATATATATATATATATATATATATATATATATATATATATATATATATATATATATATATATATATATATATAATAATAAATATATATATATATATATATATATATATATATATATATATATATATATTATAATAGCAATTATTAATAATTAACGGTTGTGTTAATTGTTATAATAATTATTCAAATTGTATCATTTTTTTTTAAATTATCTTTATATATATATATATATATATATATATATATATATATATATATATATATATATATATATATATATATATATATATATATATATATATATATATATATATATATATTTATTCCCAATGGAAAATAGAAAAGACTTAGTATAAAAGTATTAAAAATTCTGGTGAAAATATTGTAAGTAATTCACAGCATATACACTGAGGCATATTCGTTTAGACGCATCAATTTTTTATCTTTATCTTAATTTTTTTCTATAAATTGTTAACTGATATGCATGCACGTTTTTAGCAAAATAATTGTTGTGTTGTGGGCTAATAAAAACCACAAAAATTTTTTTCTATGTGTCTTTGTTAACATGAGAGTATATTTGATATACAAAAGCACATTTTTTAATTGGAATATATCTATAGACGCAATCAGGTTAATAATGGTAATTATTGATTTTTAATCACTTTAACACAAATAAATTAATAAATTTTAGTGTAATTTGATCTTTTGCTCTGCCAGTATCATTTTTATTTCATTTTACAAAATGGCTAAAGGAAAGTGTTTGAAAGATGCTGAAAAAATACAAATTAATTTATATCGTGGCTCAGTAATCTCACGTCGTGAGATTACTGATAGTGTATAAGTGCTCGTGAGTCACGAGCACTTTCTATACAAGAAATAGCAAGAAAAATTGGAAGATCTGACCATGTTGTGCGAAACTACATTGCAAAAGGTGACAATTCCGGTGTAAAAAAAGCAACAAACGGCAACAAAGTATTAACAAATCGGCAAATTAATCGAATTCTCTTCGAAGCAACCAAAAGTAAATTGAATGCAACACAAATAAAGGATGAATTATTATTGCCTGTCACCAATAAACATGTTGCACATATTCTACGTACAACACCAAACGTAAAGTGGAAGAAACCACACCAAAAACCAATGTTAAAAAAACACCATAAAGTTGCTAGATTACAGTTTGCTAAAAGCTATATGCATTGGGCTCATGAGTGACAAAACTTAATATTTTCAGATGAAAAAAAGTTCAATTTAGATGGTCCGGACTCTTACAGTTATTATTGGCATAATCTAAAAGGAATAAATGACCCACAAACAAAACGAAATTATGGTGGAGAAGGTTTAATGGTTTGGGGTGGATTTTCTTATTCAGGAAAATTGACTCTGTGTTGAGGTTTACCTAAAATGAACTCGATAAAGTATACAGAAATGTTGGATGATGTTCTCATAACTTATATGAATAAAAACATGGACAATAGTGCCATACTTCAGCAAGATAATGCTGCAATTCACACATCTAGGAATTCTATGAAATGTTTTAAAGACCACAACATCCCGGTTCTCGAATGGCCAACTTGTAGCCCGGACTTAAATCCAATCGAGAACGTGTGGGGAATGCTAGCAAGAAAAGTTTATGACGCTAAAGCAGCCGGACACTAATTTAAAACTGTTACTGAGTTAAAGTGTAAAATCCTTGAAGCATGGTCCGAGTTGGATCAAACTACACTTCAACAACTAGGGGAGTCAATGAAAGGCATAATTTTTGAGGTGATCCAGTGTAATGGAGGCCATACGCATTACTAATTTCCATCTTTTAATGTCAAAAATATAACTGCGTCTATAGATATATTCCAATTAAAAAATGTACTTTTGTATATCAAACATACTCTCATGTTAATATAGACACATAGAAAAATTTTTTTTGTTATTTTTATTAGCCTACAACACAACAATTATTTTGATAATAACTTGCATGCATATCAGTTGACAATTCATAGAAAAAAAATGAAGATAAAGAGAAAAAAAATTGATGCGCCTAAACGAATATGCCTCAGTGTATACCAAAGTTAATACTCTTTCTAGAAATAGAAGTTCTAAGAAGCCTAAAATAATTCCTCTTGTTGCTGAGATTTTATACCGTCATAAAAAAACATTTGTTACTGCTTCTATCAAATTGGGAATTGCTCATGAGCAAGATGCTTTTATGAAAAGCATCTTGCTCATTATGATTTGATACATGCTCTGCATAAAACCTTAAAAAGGTTTTATGCAGAGCATGTATCAAATCACACTGATTTAAAAATTGAAAAAGTAGTCTCTTTATTTCGTATGATAGACTTTATTCATTGCTTGCTCCCCAGATGGATTTATGGTATGCAAATGTCAAAGTAGATTGTGTTTAGAAGTTAAATGTCCGTTTAAAATTTTTGATAAAACAGTCAAAGAAGAAGCTAGTGAATGTAATTTCTTTACAATAAAAAATGATCAAATAACATTAAATAAGTTTATTTAATGTTATTTGATCACACAGATTAATTCCCAAATGGCAATCACAAATTGCAAGTCAGCATATTATATTGTTTTGACGCTAAAGCTTGGTTTCCAATAGTTGTAGAAATGTCGTACAACAGTTGTACAACACCTTTGTCTTATAATGGAAACATTTTATACCGTAAGTTGCACAACTTTACGTCGGTTGTACAACAAAACTCATGTTGTACAACTCCGGTTGTGAGTATTGAAAAAATTCTATTTCTGCAACCGTTTTTTTGGTCGCGCAGTTAATTTTTTATTGGAAACTGCACAAAAACTGTAAAGTTAATAAAACATCTTCATTTTTTACAAAACATGACGACAACTCCATTATGTGTGTTTGAAAAACTATCTAAAGCAGCTTTTATGAATGAAGTTCAAAAATTTCCAGTATTGTATGACAAGTTTAATAAAGATTTTAAAGATAAATGGAAAAAGAAAAATGCATGGGAAGAAGTTGGTCGTCTTTCAAACTTATCTCCTAATCAAGCGGAAGAGAAATATAAAAGCATTCGAAGTAGTTATGGAAGGTGGCTGAAATCAAAAAAAAATATTCCATCAGGTTCTGGAAGGAACTCAGTTCCACCTCAGTTTCTTCAGCTCGATTGGCTAAATACTTTTATAGAACATCGCGAAACAACAACCAGTATTTGTTTACCTTCTGACTCCAGATTAGAAACATCGAATTTGGAAGAAAACATTGACATGGTATGTGAGCAAGTTGAAAATACTCATCATCCATTTAATAATGATCATATATCTGAAGAGGTGACCACAGAAAACAGCTGTATAAATACTTGCGTGCAAGGAGAGTCAAGTGAGTCAACAATTCACGCTAATAACAAAAAAAAAAGAAAAAAGTTGGATTCTGATGATTTACTTGATAGAACCTTAGTGAAAACATTAGAAAAAATTAACTCCAATATTGAAACTCCGAATCTTGAAGAGCAGGATGAAGATTATTTATTTATGAAATCATTAGTTCCGCAACTTAAGCGATTAAACAACTATTCTAAAGCCTTGGCTAAAGTTCAAATACAAACATTACTTCTTAAATTAGAGTTTCCAGACAGAGATGAAACTATCTAGCCTATTACTCTACTTAACTGGTCAATGTGGAAAAACTGTACTTTAGAAGTATAATTTAGAATAAACTATGAAGTAGGGGAGCGTGGTCTAATACGGGCTCCTTAGCATAGAAGTTCATTTTTTCCCGATATAGATACCAGTATTGAATGCCTAATGCAAGAATAGCATAACTTAGATGACAATGTAATTAATGGGTCATAATCAGTTGGATTAATATAACAAACTAATTAATTAATCATACTTTTAAAACTTGTGATTAGGGGCCCATTTTATCCCATAGCTAAGCCTAAAACGGGCCCGGGCCCATTTTAACTGGCCAGGTTAAGATGGGCCCCGGGCCCGTTTTAACCTTGTGCTCTGTCAGTGACAAAATCAGATCAGAACATTATTCAAATGATAACTTGTTAATTTTGCGTCTACGCTATCAGGATACTATCATGCAATAGCAAGATCTGAACAATAAACAACTCATCATTTCAACACAAAAACTAACTATTAAGCTATTAATAACGATGAATACATTTCACTTCTGCAGCTTCGTGAATAGGTTTTACAGTTAGATCTATTCATGATGAACAGTTAGCAATAGAAAGTTCACGTTCAAACGAGTAGCATGTGGTGCTACTCACAACATTGAACACATAAAAAGTAATCGTCATCAAATACTCCATTCACTTCTGCACACGATTCATGGTACCATGTCAGACAGGTTTTGCATGAAATCCAGTCACACGCCTTCACCTTATCCTCGACAGATTTTTCCATGATTCCACATTCTGGACAAACTGATTGGATAGGCCCAGTCTGTTTCACTCCTCTTTTTTGGTTTGTATTTAGTGCAGATTTAGGCTTCTTTTCTTTCGTTTTGCTAGTCTTCTTGTTTTTTTCTGCTGCCGCAAGAGCTTTTTTCACTTTTTTAGCCTCCATTGCAGCTATCTTCTCTTCAGCCAAACGCTTTTTTGTTTCTAAGCCTTGCTTGTAAGGACTGGCAGTCAAAATAGCAGTTTTACCTTTCGATTTCGATGTTTTGCGAATGCTGCCCACTTCCACTTTTGGTAAAGGCGAAATTTGCAAAACACGGACTTTAGGTTTATGTTCAAGAGCGTTTCGACAACCAACAGCTGTTGGTGTATTTAAACCGACACCGTCAGCATCACAGGGTTTTTGCAGAACTGGCTCGACCAATCTTGGTGAAGATGAACTGTCACCAACTTGTGCCTCTATCAACTCTATTGTTGTCGGAGAAACTAAAGAATCAACATCACCGCCACCGGGTTGCTGTAGAACTGGCTCGACCAATGTAAGTAGAGAGGCGATGTCACCAACTTGTCCTTCTGTCAGCTCCATTGTTATCGGAGAAATAACCTGAAGAATTAACTGATCAACATCATCGAGTTGCTCCATGCCTGACTCGTGTGATGTGGGTTGAGATGCCCCTTCACCAATATGCCGAATTAGTGGTTGTGACTGCAACACTGGTATCTGAAGAATCTCAATAGGCATGCCAGTTTTCTCTATAATGAGTTCAACATATTCGCCTGTTGGTGAAACTTCACCAGCAACCAACTCTGTATTGCTGCCAGTTGCTTCATGTTCCAATCTTGGAATATCTGTAGGCAATGAAGCAGCAAAGTCTGCATCTTGAAAGACATCACGATTGATTGGCCATATACCAGTTTTTCTAAACCCATTGACTGCAGTCAGAGCACTGGCTGCACGAAGATAAGCCTCTCGGAAGAGCGCAGGTAATTGCAGTCACTATTCTACCTGGGTGAACAAGTAACCACTTCTCAACTTCTTGAGTGTAATACGTACTGAGTGGTTTCATCAAGCTTACGTCTAATGGTTGTAGCCGATGGCTGCAATGAGGTGGTAAACATAGGAGAGAAACACACTTTTCACGAGCAAGATTGATAACATCAAGATTTAAGGTGTGGGTTTTATGTCCATCAAGGATCAACAGTACTGGTGAATCGGCACACGAATGACTGTGATATACAAAATGTTCAAACCATTTCAGAAACAAATCAGTTTGCATCCAACCAGACGGATGGGCTACACCGATGGATCCTGGTGGTGCAGCATCAAGTAACTCAGGCTTCATTCGGCATCTCGGAAACACAAACATAGGAGGGATGAAATTACCTGATGCACTCATGCATATTTCCACTGTCACTAACTGACCACGTTCTGCCGAACTCAAGCTGCCAACTTGCTTCTTGCCCCGAGCTGCTATCACCTTGGAAGGTCTGTTCGGCACAGTTGTGAAACAGTCTCGTCACAGTTGTATACCCTGTCTGGACTATAGTGGTGCTTTGTCTGTAACTCAGTGAGCAAATCAAAAAACTGGTCAACAACAACTTTGTTGAAGCCTTGTGCCCGTGCCGAAGAAGTTGGCTCTGGCATTCTTAAAGACAGGTCTGGATGTCGTGACATAAATCCTCTATACCAGTCCAGACCTGCTTCTTCTTTGACAGAACTGAATCTTTCATGGATATTGTTACTTTTCGCTAGTTGATATGCGAGTTTTCGTAAGCGCTTAGGTGTGAAACCAAAAAGCATACTTTCCATGGTTTTTATATGCTGAACAAGTTCCAGTTCAGTTTCCGTATCGAATACATTGCACCTTGAGCCGAGTCTTTTTGCAGCTGCTGCTCCACTTGCTAGACTTGACTTGTACCTCCGCTGAAGTGTTGAACGGGGTACGCTGAAAAGTTTACAGGCTTTCTTTAATCCCATTGTTTTTGTACGTAATGCTTCAATTGCTTTGACCATACCTGTCTCTGACCACGTTTGTCTTTCAGTTGTTCTTTTATACCGTCCCATTTTATTGAAGAAGCTGAAACAAAGCACAATACAATTACATAATGTGCTATTAATCTGTAATAATAGTAGATTATACATTAATTTGAAACATTCAAAGACATACACCCTTGATTAATAGTACCATTAATTTACTTTAAAACAACAAGAAAATCAAAAGAAATTATTTTAATAACACACCAAATTTATTTAAATAAGCACACTTTTAAACGACTTTTTTATGTTGATATATCCCATAATGCAGTTTAAACTTAGTTATATTTTACATAACAGATTCAGACAAATTTATAATTTGAAGACCTCTCATTAAACAATATTACATATGAAGTTCATAGTATGAACTAGATAGGTTTGTAGTTGTTCAAAACGGTAACTAAGGCGTTGCTAAGGAACTATTTGATAATATACCTAGGTAAAAAGTTAAATATCACAAAATATACAAAACAAAATGTAGAATTTTTTTCAAAAAACTAAAAAATAATAATATTTTCTATCAGAAAAGATGAAAATAATTTTTCTTAAAAAAAATAATTTATTCACATTTATTTTGTGATGAACCACCTTAAGAAGTCAATGCCTGCATCAGCTGTCTAAAACGGGCCCTTTGGTCTAAAATGGGCCCATAGCGGGTCCGTTTTAGACACTGATAAGGCCATTACAAAATCCTCATGTTGTAACGTTCCGATAAAAAACACATGAAATCGCTCATTTCCTGAGTAATCGTAACAAAAAAACAAAAGCAATAGTGCCCTACCTTGTAACTCGATATGACGATATGACTTGTAGGTCTGTGATTTCGTAACGTCAAATAAAACAAGAGAAATTGATATAATTGATTCGACACGTTTTTACAAGACCCTGTCAATTATTAACGCAATGTAAACAATCATGCATATTCATTAAACTAAGCTGGTTCTATTTGCATTCAGAGTCACCGAAAAAATCCGCTTGGTGTCGTGCCAATCGTGGGGCCCGTTTTAACCGAGGGGCCCGTTATAGACCAATCTCCCCTAACTGTTGATAATTTTTTTTAAAAGACACATTCTGGCTTACTATTCTTTTTAACCTATTGATGCAAGAAACATAACATTTTAAGTAAAATTAGATGTGAAGTTACTTTTGATTAATCATTGGAATAGATTAAATTTAGCTTACTATTTTGTTAAGTCTATTGATGTGGTAAACTATAACTTATTTTAGAAAATCATGGAGGTATAAAATGTTAATCTTTTGTTAATTATTAGGTAACTGTTGAAGTATATCTTTTAACTATAAAAAAAAAAGTAAATTATTGGTTTGTTAAATATAACATATTTTCTTTTATTAGGAAGTTTTGTTTATTACATACATTCTAGTTATTAACTGGATTGTGGCCACACGATTGAACATAGTCCATTTGCCACGAAAGGCTTCCTTCACATGAATTAAAATAATCTTTATAAGTATTTCTTATTGCAATTGCATCAAAAACAGATCTATTACTTGTTGACTTTGAGAAATCAAGCAAACACCCTTGATCTTGTAATTCTTTTCTCCAATCTCCTTGAATAACAATTCCTGAATGACTTTCACTATCAACAAAACCAGTAGGAATATAATGCGCTCCATCTGTTAAACGCAAATAGTTGTGAAGACAAACAGTAGCCTTTATTATATGTTCCACTTTCAATGGCTTTGCTTTAATTGGAGATCTGTATATTCTCCATCTAGCTGCTAAAATTCCAAAACTATTTTCGATTGTTCTACGTGCTCTAGATAAGCGATAATTAAAAACTCTTTGCTGAACAGTAAGATTTTTACCTGGGTACGGTTTCATTAACCATGGTTTAAGTGCAAATATGTCATCTCCAACAAGGACCGGTGGAACTTTAGGATCAAATTCAGAAATTTTTGGTAAATTAAAATAACCCTTATTAAATGCTCTCCCAAATGTGCTCGCATTTAAAACTGCAGCATCATTATCCCTTCCATAAGCCCCAATGTCAACCATTGTGAAACAATATTTAGCATCACAAATTGCTAATAAAACCATACTGTAAAACCCTTTGTAGTTATAAAAAGAAGATCCAGATTTTGCAGGTGCTTCAATGCGTACATGCTTTCCATCTATAGCTCCTATACATTGTGGAAAGTTCCAATCTTGATCAAACTCTTTAATAATATTTTGCCATTCTTTTACGTCATTTGGGGCTCGTAGAAAGACTTTCTTGAGAACTTTCCATATTGCACAACAAGTTTCTTCAATTATATGGCAAACTGTAGCTCTGCCAACTCGAAAATAAAATGACTGAGTTTGTTGTGATTCTCCTGTAGCAAGGTATCGAATTGTTATAATTAATCTTTGCGACGGACATATAGAATCTCTACTGGGACAATACTTTTTCGTTAATGAAGATCCAATTAATGACAAAAGATGTTCAAGTCTGTCAGGAGACATTCTTAAATATCGATAAAAAAATTCTCTATCAAATAGCTTCATTTCTTTCACCAAAGAACTAAATGCACCTTGCTGAACACGTTTTTTAAATAGTTCTCTCACCCAAAACTGATGTTTTCTTTTTTTTATCCTTTTTCGGCGTTTTAAAATTAAAAGTATAACAAAAAGTCGATAGTTTTGAGTAGCATAATTTCTAGTGGCGGCCATTTTTTTTTTGTTATTATTTAAAAAATTAGCGGCAATTCATTATAATGGAAACACAACGTTGCGCAACAAATTACCGCACAACAAATCAAAGGTATGTTGTACAACTGTTGTAAGACATTTCTACAACTATTGGAAACCAAGCTTTAAGGACTTATACGTTAAAGTAATTTAATTTGATCAAGCGCTATGGGATAAGGTGAAAACAAGTTAAGCTATTTTTTTTAAAACAAATGTTTCTCCAGCATTATTAAGTTGTAGATAAATATGCTGTTTTTGTTTTTATTTACATTTTTTAATTTTTTCTGCATTTTCAAAAGATTTTAAAAAAAGAGTCTTTTTTTTTGGGCTGGTTTGGTTTTAAAAAAAAAACTACTAGTTTTTAAAAAATATATATTTTACACATCTTTCAGACCCTAGTTGATATAAGTTCATGTTATAATAATGACCTAAAGTTTGAACAGTAGAGCATTATATTATAAAATAAAATAAACTATTTAGTAAATTGAATTTGTTTAATGATCTATTTATAAAAATAGTGGTTTTCTCAAGTTTGATATCGCAGCACGTACGCACAGTATACTACTTATGATTGGTAGGTATAGTAATGGCTGTGTTATTTTCAATATACGGAAATGTTTTATTTTCTTTATTAATTGCTCCACATAAATACGAACATTAGCAATATTTGATGTTTCTCAAACTTCTTATTTTGACATTTAAATTCCTTTAACAGCACTTTGAGGTATACAAAGAGTACACTGTTTGTATGTAAGGTGTGTCCTTATTTCAAAGCCACGATTTGCCATAACTTGGCCATAGGGCTCAAGTATATCAAGAAAACCACTATTTCTGACAATAAAAATGTCAGAGGCACGTCCACCATAAAGAGACAGCCATGAAATTGCTCCGTTTGAAGTTACTGCTATTAAAAATTTGACTATTGCATGATGTTTATAGTCACTCCACATACAAGCTTGAACATCAAGGGTAGTTGATGTTTCAAAAAATATTTCAGAACAATCTATAATTGTTCTTATTTTTGGATATAATTGTTTAAAACAGTTTGGCATAGTTGCTCGAATTGTATTCCGGCTAGGCCACAAGATTAGGCTGTCCAACTCTTTTGATAACAATATGACCCATGTAATAATAACTTGGAAACTGTTCCAGCTGATATACAAAAGCGGAAAGCTACCCAGTGGGCACCCGACGTCAATCCGACGTCGGATTTGCGTGCGATTTTCATCAGCGATGTCAAAAGACCTATTCCGACGTTGTTCTGATGTCAGTAAAATGACGTCGGGCGATGTCTTTATCTCAACATCCCCTGACGTCGTTTCGATGTATTTTGACGTTGTTCCGACATCTTGTAAAAGACGTCCAAAAAACGTCGCAGTACTGACATCGATCCAACGTCGATAAAAAGACGTCGGGCAACGTCATAATACTAACGTACTCCGATGTCTTTTGACGTCTTCCGACGTCAATTCAACGTCCTTAAAACGACGTCGGAACAACTTCGTAAGACATCGCTGATGAAAATTTAATCCAAACCCAACAATATGTGTGCAATTGCGCTCTTCAATAAATATGTGAACTAAGCGTGTTTTTTTATTAATGGAAAAAAGTTTGAATAAAGGTTGATAAAACATCATGAGGTTTTGTATGATGCACTAGCATAGTTTTTTAAC